GTTGTAACCATCATAATACGTTGAAGTGTATCAGTTATTTGAACATGAGAAATGTATGCCCAAGAGATAATTGAATAGGTCAAAAAATACAAGGTAAAAAAATACAGGGCTCTAGGCCAATAGAATTTAGAAGAATACCATATCCAATTCATGACAGCTCCCATAGATGGGTTTTCATATAAACTCTCGAATTCATCCTTTTTTATGAGGTTCCAAATGAGTCTAATAAAGGGACTGTAATCCTCCTCTTTAAAAACTTCATGAGATAAATATTGGTTAGGAAAATTTAAAAACTTTAAAAAGTCTAGAAAGCTTGTACGTTTGCTTTCTTTTACATCAAATAATGATTTTTTTTTTGTTGTGAAATCTGTTAAAGGGACCATTCGAATATCAACCATTTTATCATAACTGTAGCAAATTTAAAATGAAATTGAATTAATCTATAGTAAAATAACAACAGATTTTAATATAAATTATTGTCTTCATACTCGATTTCTTGTAAATCCAACTCAGAATCCTGTGGAATCAACTGTGTTATAGGTATAAAAACTTTTAATAAATCATTTGACGCTGGTGAAATTTCAAGAAATTCGAATGATAATAAATCCAGTGGCTTGTTACAAAAGCAAGGATTATAAAATAATTTTTGAGCATGATATGCGTAAGATTCTATTTTCATGAAAATTAATATATAAAGGGTTCATATAATTATGTGTTAATATAATAAAATTTATAGCAAACCAGATTTAAAATCCATTACATCCTCATAAATATTATCATCTTTTTCTTTTCCATTCTTTTTATTATGTATAATGTCTACAATAATTATGTGTTAATATGATCAAATTTATAGCCAACTTTGTTTTAAATCTATTTCATTCTCATTAATATTATCACCTTCTCTTTTTTCATTCTTTTTTTCATTACTCTTATATAATTCTGGTATGATGTCTACAACTGTATTCATCCATCCAATATTTTCAAGTACGTTATTAGAATAATATTCTAAAAAAAGTGCCAACATAGTATGATCTTCAAGCAGGTAAAGTGTTAATATTTAGCATGTATAGTACATATATATGTATTCAGCTCAATTTTAATTATACAAACCTGAAAATGCAGTACGAATGGCATTTTTTTCACCTGACCAAGGAAATTTTTGAGGTATATGAATCGATTCTCCAAAAGACAAAATGTCATTTACAAGCTCATAATCCCCGTTTCAATAAGAATATTCATTAAACCAAAGCGAAAATCTAACAGCCGCCAAGCAGTTAGATGCAATCTAATAAACCTTAATATTATCTTTCGTGTTTGTTTTATAATGATACCGAATTTTAATTTTTTATTCTCATCAAGAATCTGTTCAAACTTTTTACAAGCAGAAAAATATTTAAGTGTGTAGCATGCATATTTTACTACATTCATAATGTCATTTTCATTTTCCATTTTAATTTCATATTCCGTTCCATCTACATCCCAGATGCTAAGCTTGAACTTCCCGACACCATATTTAATGTCTTTTACTTGTATTATTTTAGATTCCCATTCTCTTAAATTCAACAAAGAAATATCGTGCACGTGAAATAAGTGCGAATAATTTAAAGGCACATAAATGAATTCAAGAGATCTTTTATTAAAACCTTTATCATACCAAACTTGAATTGAATGGTTTCCAATTAATAGCAATTTTTCTTTTTTTTCATCAAGAACGAACGAATATCGCGAATGTCCCAAATCTGTTGACAACAATGATGACATGCTTTGTAGCCACCAGGGTTCAAGCATATGATAATATTCATCTAATTTTGATTCATTACCCTGAAGATCTTGGATCACATTATTACGATCATTTCTCAACATATATTCTTCACCTGATAGTTGCTTCCAATCTTGTTCATTTTTT